CTCAATGCAGTCTTCATCGTCGCTTACATAGGACGAGTCATTCTAATTAATCAAGTCTAATAAACATGAAAACCAAAAAGAAACAGAAGAAAAAACGATAAAATCCAATAAAAAAGCAAGCCAGCCAAGGAAAAATATCGCGTCCTATCGATTGGCGGGAGGCGGGGTGAGTACGGTAGTTGCAGTGACATTTGCCGCATGCCGCAAGGGGAATGCCGCAATCGGGGAAAGGTTCCGTGGGTGTGCGATTAAATTTTCGATCGCACCTAATCAAGCTCGCCTCGCACCTAGGCGCGAAGTAACCTTAATTAGGTGCGAAGACTAAGCGATAGCGGATTAAGGCTGCCTGCACTTGATACTAGTCAAAATAAAACTTTTCAACTAAAGAGGATAATGACAGTTAAAAGAAGTCTAGTTTTTTAAAAAAGTTTTTTGCTGAGAAGAAGTCCCAATATCAATTTCAACGGTTTTGAGAGTTTTTTCCCTTGCATAATAGGTAAATTCAAAATATTTTGTGATTAAAGTTTCTGTAATATGGGAGAAAACGGTTCAACTCCTTAGTAGTAAGAATACTTAAAATAAAACCTAAATTTATAAGTAGAATTTTAGATAGTTCTGTTTGTAACGAATTTGAACATCTCTATTCAAAATTCTTGTATTTGGTGGCGGCTTGCTCCTTGCTCTTGAAGTTCATCGAACCTAGCAGAGGACTGTAGGGGTGAGGAAAACGTGTAGAGCGATTGTTGTGCTACGGGGTCCCGTTGCATTCGGAGAGGCTGTGTAGACGCAGAACTTCCGAAAAAATCATTTTGTAGTGCTGGGGCTTTCGAAGCAAAGTGAAAAGTTATTAAAGGAGGGAAGAGGGTCACATGGACCACGCACTCCCAAATAGACTGAAGCGGGAGGGTACCCTGTAAGTTCATCGAAACAGTACAGTGCGTCTCTAGAATACATGGTAATGTCTTAAAAAGTTAAGTAAAAAACTGTGAAATGGCCAGCATGATGAGCCGTAGGGCGTTCAATGACCTCTCATCTGTAAAGGTTGTTTGATATCGCATATAAACGAAAATACGAGAAAAGAAGTAAATTGAACTGTTTGATCCATTTTCAGGAACTTGAAATAAAATATTTTGAACTTATTTATTATGCGTGGGAATAATTAAATTCTCAAAATCGTTGGAATTGATATTGGAATTTTTCCTTCCAAAAACTCATTTTTTCAAGAGAAACTCCATTTTTTTTAACTGTCATTATCCTCTTTAACTGACAAGTTTCAACTCGATTAGTAGCGAGTGCGGGCAGCATAATTACGGCTTTAGTCTCCGCACCTAATGAAGGCCACTTCGCGCCTAGGCGCGAGGCGAGCTTGATTGGGTGCGATCGAAAATTTATTCCCGTACCCAGGTTCCGTTACCCTAGCTTGCATATTCTTTCGCGCGCTCCAATGTTAGAAACGTACCGCGGCCGCGCGCGCACGACGTAGATAACCATTGTTGCTTTCCGATCTTACCGATACTCCTCTAAAAGGGCCCACCGACCTCCGACCGACTTGATCTTGGCCACTTTTGACAGTACTGGACACCGAAGAATCACGCGCCCTTAGGACCCGTTGCTGTAGCCTAAATGCATCTCTTGTGCGTTGATCTTAAATTAATTGTTTCAAAAAAATAGTTGCATGGCAACAAGACTTCTGATCGTTTCTCAATACCATTGCCGATCTGCAAAACGAGTGCCTTGACTTTCTGTGATAGCCCTAGCAAATGGTGTTAGATGGGCAGAGCATTGTGCTGTAGACTCATCCAGCTTCATTTTCACCAGGGAGACATTTCCATATTTGTCAATAGATTCAGAATGAACCGTAAAATGAGTATAGGCGTGAACTTCGTAAATGTTTGTATGGTTTGAGAAAATGAAAACAACGTATTCTGTTGAATATACTGGTATCAAGTTCACGGGAATGTTCCATCGCAAGGATACCCGTGTTCGTGATTGATGTCACAAGATAATTTCTAAGAGCTTAAGTATTTGGTTATGTTGCTCTAGTGTCGATCTTTATTTCAGTCTCTCGTTTGTATACCTTGTACTTCAGGCAAGATGAATAACTGTGATGAAGACGGGGCCTCATCAGAAAGACAGAGTCTTTTGGACACAGCGACGCAGCTGGAAAACCAGGTGGGGTTGGTATATCACTTTTAAGAATAAACATGAAGATAAGGCACACGCGAAATCCATGATTAACGTTGCCAACTCCGCTTTCATGAGACCCCTCTAATAGCCGTTTCTTAATCGCTTTTGACATGCTGCATATTTAACTACAACAGAAATTTCTCACTGTTGAACCCTTTATTTCGCACTCACTGAAGATGGCCTTATAATCAGTCAGTGGTGCACTTCTGAAATTTTTCTGCGTGGACATTTTACCCGTTATAGAAATTGGCAGTACTCAGTATTGCTCACTTGTTGGAGTGCTGTTCAAAACTAGTGTTATTATTGTGACAGCTCGTTCCCAGGACATGCGCGGAGACGACAATGTGGTGGTTGCGTATGGAAATGACGATTTTCAGCTAAAAAACAAGGAGGATTCCGAGCTGCAAAGTTCCATCGATGTAAGTCCATATGTGCTAAAAAGTAAGTAGGTGCCTCAATAGTAGAGGGTAATTTGAAGGAATTTCAGAGTGTTCTGAGAGAGGCAGAGGATATAATGACAGATGGTCCTATGAAAGCGTCTGAAAACAAGGAAAACCAGCAAGTTTTACTGGACGAAGTCGACTTTGAATACAGGTGAAGAGTGATTGGATGCCAGACTTATTCCCAGTCATACTCAGTGTCCTGCAGTTCACTGCGTTGACTTTTTATCGGTTTTAGAACTCGGTTCTAATAGCCTTCTAAACCTCGAAAAACCTGCGCTACCATAAAATGAGGAAAAAGCTGATTGTCAAAAAAACATTCGAGTGAGTAAGTCGTTTCAAAATCGTCATAGGGAATCGCGTTAATACTTTTTTGAAAACGTAGACCTCTTAATGTAAAGTGATTGTTATAATAAAAACGGGAATTTAAGGCGCAACACTCGACTATTTACAAGAAATCC